TCGTTCATTCTTTTTTATAATTACTTACTTGTTTACGGAATGAATCTGGTACTAGAGAGTACCTGCGTACGTATTTGTAAGTCACTAGTGTCAACGACGCAGGCAGGTAATTAAGAAGTAAATAACGCGGATAATTACTAGTAGATATTTATTATAGTTGTTTAAAAGTATGTCAGATAATTGGTAGCACGGGCTAAGCAGCTGCTCCACCACTTCATCCACCGCCATTTTATAGGCTAGGGTTGACGCTTCGCGACTAAATCGTCGAAACCACTCAGCAGTAGGTTACCCTTATTTTGCGTTTTCAAGACGCTGGTAAGCTCACTTCTGCACTCACTTGCAGCTGCTTGTAATCTGTACATTGATACCCGAATAGGCTGTCTCATGCTCTGTCTGGAAGGAAGCGGAAGGCTTGGTTACATACATATTTCCTGTCATTTTCATTAAATCGTAAAAAATAGAAATACTTGCCTTAAAAAAATAAAATGCCTGGCTTAAAAGGATTATCGTATAGGATAAAATATACGATCTTATCATTTCTAATATTGTCAAGTAAGCCAAGTTTAAGCTATCAGGCTCGTACCCCGAAAATAATAATTTTTTTCGTAATTTATATTTTGTGAGTAAGATTACCACTGTTTCACGTGCGAGTTAATTCTCTTTCTAAACTACATTAGAGTTTAATTTGGTTTCTTTTATATTATTTATTTATGAGAGAAATAACTTACTATTAATAGTATTTTATTATTAGCGAAATTCGATGAAAAATCCACGGAATCAGGGAAATTCTATACGTAAATTATTTATTCAAGTTTTACTTTGGGAGAATGTGCGAAGATCGAGTTTTGAATTCTTCGCATTTATGGGCTTATCAAAATCTCATCAAGAGTAGTAAGAGACGTGTTTGAAGAATGGTTTACAGGGATAGGCTTATAATTAGCGAGTTAGCTGAAATGACTTAAGGGATGCTCATTTGATCTTAACTGCCAGTTTCATACCAGGAACCCATCCCAGTAGGAAAAAGCTGCCCGCAGATGGAGAGATCAACCAACGAGTCAGCTAGAAAGTTGTAGAAAGAGTAGAAAGTTGTTGTTTTGAACAATTATTGCTAACGTTATTAGTGCGTGATGGGGCGAAACCCCTCACTACCAATGCCCGCGAAAAGGGCTCCATTGTATTTACCTGTTTTGAGTATTCGCGTTCCGCATACCTATTATAGATCTTACAGATTACAGAAAGTCGTACAGATCGTTTATTGTAGGTAAACAAGTTAGTTCTAAATATCTCAATAAACATCGTGGTTGCAATTAACTGAAGAAAATCGCATCTCTTTCTCGCTTAGGTACCTTCTTGCCCAATGCCTTAGCTATCATCGCTTCCTGGCTAAAAAGCTCATATCTTTTGAGCCAGCCTGTTACTTCGAGCTTTCTGAACGATGCCGTTGGCGATATCGTCGATTCTTCCTAGCTTCTTACAGTTATGTTCTCCATTTTGCCCAGATCGGGCGTATTCCCTACCACACCACTGCTATTACTGGGATGGATCAGACCATTGACCGCAAAAAGAGACGAGTTCCTGGTATCCACTCGCTATATATTTATCAGCATATATCCGCAATATTTTCTCTGTACTTATTGATGTAACGTGGTTAGGCAGATGAAAGTGAACGTAAATTATCGAGCTTAGCTGGTTTCTCTCGGACGTAAAGCAATGTAAGCGTAACAGACTTACGGGTGGAAATTAAGTTTCAGTAATTTACTAAGTTACTCCCCGAGCTTTGCCCCATATCCCGTTTTGTCCTCTGATTTGACCCTCAACTATACACAATTTTAAATAGATTATAGTTCGTGTACATAGCAATAGTTAGTCTGTTATACTACTCTACGCGCCTTATTGCGTTTCACTGTTGCAGTTGTCTGGGTCTCTCATCAGAATCAGGTTTTACTGAGTGATAGTGTTTCGCTGAGTAGTAAATACTGAGGTCTGCTGTGAATGTGTTGAGGTGTGATAGATGCAGCTGGCCACAATAAGGTCGGCTGTATTGATGTTACTTGGCGAGACTGCTTGTTTATGTTTTAAGATATCCGGTCCTATTAGAAAGCGTTAAGATGCTTCATTTCATCGTGATTATTTGTTAGTTTATTACGTACGTGAAAATACATTTTCCTCCGTTACTAAAGTTGCTAAATACTCAAAAAAAAAAACACATCTCATCTATTCTGACATAGTTTAGTTAAAACGTATAGCCATAATTCATTTTAAATAAAGCGGTATTAATAAAAAGCTAAAAAAACAGAACAGATTAAGCTTAAACATCGGCCTCCACGTTAAGGTACAGCCATGACAAGCTGGTTCCCGAAGTGGACAAGAGTAAAGCCTACTAAAAGATTCTTACGATTACGTAAACAAGCAGAATTTTGGCGCCTTTCAAAGATCCTAGTATCGATGCCTGTCGTCCTTTCCTCAAATGTTCAACAATAATCTTCACGTCTTCCTATAAAACATAGTAAATTAATCTGATACGATACTTTTAGTTCAAATTCAATATGAAGCGCTACTGCTGCCTGCTACACTTTTCTAGATTCAGTCTTAGAGTCAATGTTTCGAGTAGTTTGTGACAGAAATCGACTGAGTGTTATTGGCCTTTTTTTTATTCCTTCGACGAAGAGTTGACTCCTGACAACAATGTAATAATGAACATACCGCTTTCATATAGTTGATCATATAGATGGTTACTTAAAAGGTCGTTTGGAGGGTACATTACGTGTCGCATCAGATCCTTAGGTTTTTCTTGGTCAACACCTAGATGTAATATTTATAATTCTACGATTTTTACAAAATGGGAAGTTTATGGGTTCATTCGACTATTATTACGTACAATAGGATTATCACACTCTCGTTCACACTTGAATATCTGCTAACCTAGATTAGTCAACACTTTACTACTCAGTTTCCTAAACTATCCTACCACAAACATTCGGTTGTATAATTCAAGGTCGCTTCTTAGAGCTAATTTAGTTTATGCCTAAAATCATACACCAAGAGTGCGCCCGGGGCAGAACAGTACAACAACGTGATGTAAAAGAATAATATCAGCATAATGCAGCGGTTAGTGCTCACTACTACGTTATAAATTCGCTGCAAGACCCCATAGCCCACTTTGCTGCTTGCCTAAAAAAAATAGCCCCGCCATCTCTAAAATTAACAACTCGTATGCAGCGCTTGCTGCCCTCGCTTGTATCTCTGTCGATCAGATTGCTGCTTCTTATATTTGCCCTAAGCCACCCATAGCACTACACTCTGCGCGGCCCACAACGACATCTCCAGTACGGACTCTATGCAACTCTATGTCGACCTCTTCCACGCCCTCATTTTGCAGCCGCATCATGCCAATCTCAATCTCATACCCTGCGTTGTGCTTAATTACCACTTTATTGAAAATGACGCCCGTGTTTAGTATATTCTATTTAAATTGATTCCGCCCGATGGAAACAGCACGACTTTACCGAGCTATTGCTTTCAACACTGGTTCCGAACAAATGGGCGCCGTACCCATTTCCAACGTCAGTTCCTATTATGAAAGCAATCACTAAATTCACGGCGCTCGTGGACGGACTCTGATGCTAGACCAGCGCCTTCGCCCCGGTACGCGCAAGTCTTTTCGCAAACTCGCCATCCGCTCTTCTGTCCAATTATTATTGGTCAGCTCGTAACGGTTTGTATTTTCTGTTTTCAGCACCTCAGTTGCTTCCTATTCAGAAACTATATCGTTTTATATCGAAGATGCGAAGCGTATCCTTAGCAACGCACACGACGCCATTGGCCGCTAATCGATGTCTTCATACACGCAACGTCCAACAATTCCAAAATTTAGAATGTTTTTACCATTTTCAGTTCTTTAATAAATACAGATAATTTCTGAGAGCAGGTCACACCCTGTGCGTCTACAAGTTATTATTGAAGTCTCATGTCCACGACTGCGTTTGTCGTACAATAAAAAGAGCTATGGCGTGAAGCCTATCTTCGCCAGCTAACTTGCGTTTCAATTTTTGCAGCGCTTTAGTTTCATCTGGCAAAAGCGGTCCAGTAGTTTTCGAGAAAACCCGTTGAAAAAATACGTAAATGTCTCAGTAACAACTAATAATCTACGATGGTATCTGGCGTTTCGCAGGGTTGATATCTGCTAACTCTTTGTTGCCACTTTTCGGCCCAGAATCGAGACTTATGAAGGACTCTAAACGCTCGAAATGAGCCAAGGAAAAATATTGAAGAAATATATACCATTTGTCTAGACTTTGCTAACTTCTAACCTATTCTGGATCCCGTCGTAGAAGCATGGCAGAACATTGCCCTGACCAGTTCCTTGCCACAGGCTTCACTGACGATGTACTTTGTATCCAACGCAATACTGGTTTCCTCCTCCGCTAGATGTGCATTCTTATAGCCGCGGGCAGCTTTCTGGAATACTGTTTCTCTAGGAAACAGAACCAGTGGTATCTCGAATTGATCGTATACAATCCTCAATTTCTAGGCCGGTTTGAAGCCCGTCTCCAGATAGTGGCGGGAGCGGCGCGAACTTGAACCGTTGAATCTAGCTTGTACCAGTTGAAACAGTCACGGCAAATTACAAGAGAACCTTTCCTACGTAACAGTATACATTTTTGAAGAACGCAATAACTAGTGATTGTAAGACCGCTCAAGGCGATGTTATAATGAGCGATATAAATGAAACGCAGGCATTTCAGTAATATACAGTGAACGAAATATGCACACATGTATATAGAGGTATCCATAGTACATACTATAAGTAGCTCGATAGAGACGCACGCGAGACCGTTTAGGTTTTGCATTGCATGACTATTTCGATAATGTATGTTAAAAAGTGACCTAATAGCTCAAGTGAAATAGCCTTTAAGATAAATAATCATGCGATAGGATATGATTCGGGAAGATATATCGTACAGACTGAAGGTTACCAATTGAATAAGATGCATGTAATCTTTATTTTGGATGCTTTGAATCAATTTAGTATATAACAGATTAGTAAAATTATGGGTTTCTTTCGATTTTTTTTTTATTATAGCTCAGGTCGGGTTTGCTTCGGCTTTTCTTAGAAAACTGAGGACGTCATAAAACAAGCTGGGATCCTTATCATTTATAGCAAAATTGTGATGGGAGTAATTTATATCATCAATGAAAAGATACTCCGTCGTATTTGCAGGCAGACTCCTCACGAGTTTCCAGTTTTCCTCTGCCGTAGAGTAGAGATCTCCAGTTGAAAAATAGACTTTCGTGGGGACACGGAGGTTTCGGATATCCATCCAGACTGGCGATTCTGTATTGAATCTATTTAGAAAAGATACAGTAAAAGATAACGCGTGAAACGAATGAAAATTCAATGAAACCTAGACTGCTTGCAGTGATGAGAGCTGGAGACGGAAATACATTCCATGAACCCCATTGCGGATATGAGATTGTTTGCCTTGCTTGTACATATGGAAGTAAAAGAGTAACTTGACTATTTTCGAACTGGAATTTTTGGCCAACACCAAGTCCGACCTCAGCCTTCCAGTCGATAAGAACGCTAATTCTACAACCTATTAAGGATCATTAGCGGGCATCAGAAAATGAGCCTTACGTAGTTTGCAATAATTTGACCGGGTCAGTGTTGCGCCATTCTGATGCTATATAATAATGAATTTAAAAAGTGATTCAAAGATCCAAAACGTTACGCCCTTTTTCTATCGTTGCTTCTACTATGTCGAATTTCGACCCTAGCTGTTAATCAGACATTATATATTGTTGAAGAGCTGTCTTTTGCCTCTACTACTGTGTACCTGTCAAAATACTTCAATGATTATATTAAACGTCTTTGCAGTGTAATCGAAATTACGATATATGATAGATCTTAGTTAGAGTTACTGAGGGAAGAAATTTGTGCATTTCTATAACAACGATAAGTACGATAATGACCGCCAATGTTTTTCAAGCGGCGTTCATGTGGGAACAACGCAACGTCAAGATTAATTGCGGGCCTCCTGGAGTTTCCGCCTAAATCTGGCAATGGCAGAACGAGACAAGCACTGTTGTCTTATATAGGATCGAATTTTATTTTTCGCGCGAAGAGTATTCTTCATCACTCTATACGCATTGCATATACATTATAAGCGATTTTCACGGATTGCGAAGAAACCTAACCTTAACCTTAGCAAAAACAGCGTTCGGAGAAAGTATTTTGCGATGACGTTGTTAACAGGTACTGCTCGATGTGCAGATATGGTCATTTCGATTCTGTTGAAGACGATGTAGTATGCTCATTACCTAGTTATTGTCAGGACATAATCTCCCAAGGAGAATCAGCTGTGCTTTAATCCCTTGAGCTAATCGTTTCGCTAATTCGGATAGGACACGGCACAAATGTCAAATCGGACGAGCTACTAGGTAACATGATTGTCAAGGCCTTAGCATAGCTGTTAAATGCCTATAGAACGTCTATATTAAGGTTGATGAACAATGTGTCCGACATAACAGAAATACGCGCAGAGCTAGCTGTCGGTATGCTCATTCAATGTGATTTTACTTGTGTGTATATATCGTTCAGAATACGCGGCAGGTCGGCCTGCGCCCTGCAAACAGTAGAGCTAGTAGAATTACATGGCTGTACAGCAGCCTGGATTCGTTGTTCTCGTCGCTGACTATGAATGGGGTTTAAAAACAAGAAGGCGAACATTTTTCAGAGCACGTGTCAGCTTCCCTTAGACCTGGTAGACATGGCAGCATTAACCGTCGCTCTCCGTTCCCTTCACCCTATAATAAGACGTTTGCCCCTACATCTTAGCATGTTTTGGATTACTTGCTAGTTTAGTATCTGCCCCTACTCGTTCCAACCAAACTCCATCCCGAATGTTCCTAATGTGACATTTCCCAACAAACACAAAGGTGGAATTCGGCAGCTTAAACGTTCAGTTGAGAGGTTCCCATCGAGGAGGACACTTTTGGAACGACCGACATGACTCGAAACCGTCGCCGCCTCCCACACCGAGCGCTTAGCTGACCCAGCTTCTAACTGTTCTTGCCCCTTGCTTGTCGCTGCCCCCCCCCCCCTCTTTTCTTTCTATGCGTTTGCCTCTTTGCTAAGTCTTCTTCCCCAGTCGCTGCAATTAGTCCAGGCATTGCGTCCATTGCTCTCCAGATAACACTTCAACGGGGGGGGGGCCGCAACGCTCAGCGTAGTTCATTTTCCTTCTTTACCTTTTCTGCTGATATCAGCTGTCGTTTGCTGCCAACTATTAAATGCGATGAACGCTATTTACTCGCAGAAATAAATGGTACGAGCGGTCGTAAGGTTGAGGTGTCAGTCTGTCTTTATTACCGCTGGGAATGGAGATGTCGACAAGGACACATGCGTTTGCGTGCATCGTGACGTTCACGTGCGCAACACGATTTAGCGAGCATACTCCTGAGAACAACAGGATTGTCACATATATATTGGAACATGCCAACAGCGGCAGCTAATCACAACAAAAACACTAGCAACATTGAAGGCAGCAGTTCACCTTAGGTCAATATTGGTGGCTAGATATGGTTGTTCCGGGAAAAGGCCTGACGTCGTCCCTACACCGTTGGATGGCACTGATGTAGCCTTGTATTTTCGTTGTATCAACGTTGGATCGAATGACCCGCTGACAGCCGACCACTACGTATATCGTTTGTATACATTTCTCTACGGTATCATCATCGTAATATTATGCACCCCAAAGAAGTTCTGTGGGCATGTAGGTCGTACTGGGACAACAAGCAGGAGGTGGATGAGGGATCCAGGAAGTGAATGAGTTGAGAATGAAGTACTTATGTGCATAATTCTGCAATACAGGATTTCGGGAAGTCGCATATATTATTTGTATTTGGATGCAGTAACGGAAAGTTGGACAGCGTTAAACAATTGCTGGCAGTACAATAACCACTTGTGAGAAGGTTAAGTAGGAGCTAATTTAAAGCTCGCACTTATACAGGTTTATCTGCAACTCGTTGAATCGTAAATTTCTTTAAAATGAGATTTGGCAGCGAACCCTTTAAAATACTAATTATATAATCGAATCGGCTGAACTGAATGGGCATATAGTCTACGTGACAAGTATAGAACTTGACATAGCCCGAGACGACTGAGCGCATTTATCTGTAATGTCAGCACTTAAAATGACTAATCGTTTTATCTAAAGCCATATCTCCCATCGTATCCAATGTTCCACAGAAAAAAAATCAAAATTAATGCTTTGTCTACAAGGCGAACAGTGATAAGAAATAAGCAAACTAAAATACCACTTTAGGCTTCATGTCCGTATCCAAGAAAAGACACCAGGACTATCTGCGCGACAATATGTAAGCGTATTCGCAAGCGAAGGTCTACGAAAGATTCTAAAACTTATCTTCAAACTACGTCTTCATTGAACTAACCAGGCCTCACGTTTCAATATGTCAATAACATGTACCTGCGTAAATTTCCTCTGGGACCATAATCAAAGCTTCGAACGAATTCCGTCTCAGAGGAACTATTCGCAATCATTTTGTTGGAGTCCCAAAGATCATAGTAGTAACGAAGCACCCAAGTCGAAGTGCCCCCAGGCAAATATTTCACCCAAAGGGGCAGCTTTTTCTGCAAGCAAATAGTAAGATGTATTTTACAAATAGTAGATTTTCTAAAATGGAAATATTCTTGGCTTTATGAATATATAGGCTATTCTCGTATTTTTGTGTGAGAAAAAAAAAATGCAAATGTCGTTCGAAACATCGACTTGAACGGACATATTTAAATACCTGTACACAAACTACTCCGGTAACGTGTCTTACATCAATCCGTATATCGGTGACTTTTACAGATACGCTTCAGTATAATGTGCGCATGGAAAAGTTCAAGCACAACTTACCAGATCTGTGTACTCGGAAGTCATTCCAATGAGGTCTCGAAAGAGATCAAATGATTCCTTTTCAGCGCCCTGGACCAAACTGGCAATGTTCTCATTCCATGGAAGAAATTCGCTTGGTTTCTATAAACGAAAACGGCAGATTTATTTTGGTAGACGTAAGCGAATCATGAGAAGCCTATATGACGAATTTGCACCTTTTAAACTGTAATCAAAATTCTCATACATACCATATGTCGGGAGATCAGGCACACTACATACTTAATAAACTGAATTTTATCAGCCGACGCTAACGTACGCGCTCCAGCCAACGATGCAAACGATATCACCTTGTCATTATAACTCGGTCGTAAAGAGAACATCTTGAAAAGTAAAGGAAACAGAGCGGAGGCCATGTTACATCGAATATAAAACACACATAATATGTGTACAGATATATATAATAATAGAAGACTGGACGTGTCGAAACGTTTGCTGTTGTCGCAGCAAAAAACAAAAACATAGACTTAATAAATATCTACAAAATTTTCAAATAGAGCAAGACTGAAACCCCTCATATACCTGTATACTTGAAATTGAACCTTGCGACATGCCGACAAGATGCAACTTAGGTTGGTTTGTCACACTAAGAATATAGTCGATCTGTGCAGGAGTGTCGTACAGAGCTGTAATAGAATTAAGTTACTCGTTGGTATTAAGAATTTTGGCCTCTTTTAATATTATAGCTAACAGGGAGTTAGACGATGTTGAATTACCACTTTGCTAGGGTTTCCAAAAATTGTCGCCTCTAATCCACTCTTTGAATCGGAAAAAATTATTTTTACTTACAATTGCAGTGTTTAACTAGCGTTTCCTGTATTTCATACCGAACCTTTATTGTACAGGGGGCTGTATAAAGTTCAAGCTGGCTAGAGAAGTAAATAATAAAGCCTGGCTGATATAATAAAGTACTAAGATATAAACGGCTGGCTATAATTTATTTTGGTCTGAGAAGCCTGAAATGCCTACCGTGATCGTTGACTGTGAACGCCCAGGGAGACTCAGCATCTTTTGAGAAATCGGTTTGTTCATGATGAGCATAGAGCGAGTTGCCTCGATAATTGCCAAGCCATACATCAAAGCCGCCATCTTGCAATATGTACGCTAGAACAGTTAACACACAGTTGAATATTTTGGCTATTTTCAAACACTGAATTGTTATGAATAAATAGAATAGCCAGCTTGTTCTGACCAGAAGCCAGAATATCTTTTGAATGAAAAGCTCACTGATATGGGTAGGTTGTTATTATAGTAGTTAAATGCAAATCCAAGAAGGTAACTTCAACTCAGGTGGCATCGCGCGCGCACTACGATACTCATTGGAGTAATCAAGCTCTCGCAGTTGACAACCGTTTTAAATTTTCGATCATTAATCTTGTACCTCACGGTCTTCGTTCAGCTCACCGCTTCTCACGTAATGCGGGTCTGGTTTAAAGTAGAATTATCAGGGTCAAGCTGTGAAACAGGACTTTGTAGCCGAATTTTGTTTTTAGCCGCTGAGTAATGATCTGCTGTATTTCTCATCCATTCAACGTTATTTTGGTGTTAGAAGTTTAGACATGACGTTATTTACTCTGCTAGCTCGCAAACACACATTGTGCCTGCTTACATCAATGATAAGTAACAGAAGGACCTGTCACAAGGTCAATTGTGAATTTTTCCTTTCGTCGCCCAATTAGGGGTCGCTCATCGTTAAAGCTGCATGCATTCAAAGCTGTACAGCGTTTTGGCTCCGACGGGTACTATTTACGTGCTTATATTTAGAATTAGGCATTGCTGCCTACTTGACTAAACAAGCAGATGGACAACGACATGTTGCGTACGCTGGTAGTAGTACTAGGGCTAACTATAGAAGCATTTCAGCCTCGCTTGATCAAGGAAAAGCTAAAAGTTGTCCGTGGAGAGCCAGGCGAAACTGGCGGATGAATATCACAAATATACTTTACTGCACTTTCGATATAGAGGCTTGACCTTACCAAGAGAGGTATTTCGTGCAGCTGTGAGCCAGAAGCCTGAACTTCCAAGAAGGAAGCTCGGTATGAGGACGGGAGTTTTACTCTCCTTATGAAGATGCGTTAATCCGTTTTCCTGTCCGGAAGCAGCGGCGACCGTGACACTAGGCCGAGAAATGATGCGATGTACGGACACGGTCCAACCGTTCCCTACCGATAGGTTGTGTACTTCGAGGCCAAACCCTCGACGAGCAACAAGCTGCTCCTGAAAAACATCCGACTATAATGTAAAAACATTACAAGTACAGTTCAGTGGAAACAATTAACTTTTTGAACTGGTGTTACAAGCCAATGTTAGTTGACAAAAATTTGCAAAGCCTGCGTACGCCGTAGTCGAGATGTGCACTAGGACAATGTTGGTTTATCTGATTTATTTATAAGTCGTCGATTAGGTTTCCCAAATTGCCGTGTTTGAGCAAAAAACCCAAGTGCACATAACAAAGCAAAGCTTCTTGATCATCTTGATTAATATTCATTTACTGTTTACGTTCTCGAGAGAAAATACAACCGTTTACGGCTCTGTCTTCTGTTGTGTCGTATAATCATATGAATGAAACTTCTATAAAATCGCAAATATTGCCCATTTCAGGTTCATATGTATGATGGGCACCGGGAGCGGGCAGCGATCCCAAAAAGTATTTAGGGCGGCGGTAGCAGGCCACTGTGACGGATACCGGTGAAGAAGAATAGATGCCTTGAAGTAATGTCACAGTAGCTTCAAGGCTTCATCCCCCCAACCTACTGGTCGAGGCATACGCGTTTTTGAGTGTTAGAAAATGTCCCACACTACCCGGTTTTCGGATGCGCATTAGTGTGATTAGTCTTGTTAATAAAAAGTCAGCTCTAAAACATTTCAATGGCGCGAAGAACAGCTTTATATATGCAGCTCTAAACACATATATATGTATATATATCTGAAGTTAGAGTTTTTCTTATCGATTTTTTCACAAACTTAATGTAAATACAGATATTTCAACAATATTTTTTTATTCGTGCTAGAAGACTTATTCCTGTACGCCATGTGTATTTAGTATAGCCGTAATCTACCATGATTACGGCTAAGATTCAGCGCGTAACTAATTAGGCATTTTCAAAATGGTCCTTTCCGCAAACAACTTCAATAGTAATAGTACGTCGAGTGACTTTGAAAGGCGTTAAGTTTCATGAACTGTTGTTCAAACAAAAAAGTTTAGCGTACTTAAATTTTGGGCTGATGACTAGCCAAAAGTCTTAAATACGCAAGGGATTTAAAAATTAAAGGTGTAAAGAAAGCCTCAAAAGACTAAACGGTAGGGCCGATCTGGACGAGTTTATTGGCAATTTATATTCCTCTCTTCAAAGCGGCTTTTAGTTTCTGTATCAAACACTCATGCGTATTTTCTTCTTGGGTTATCCTGATTAATTTTCGGGCCTTTTAAAATCGAAAAACTCTTCTTTTGCCTCAGAAAAGTTTGTCTCAGATTTTTCTGAAACTAGATAAAAAAAATTTTCTATCTATTTGGGGCAGAAAACGCAATTTTTAGTCTCGTTTGGGGGAAGGGGTCGTCCAGTTTGATGACGGCTAGGCTTCGTTCAGATTCAAAAAATGGCCGCCATTTTGCCATAAATAATTCGTTATTGTTAAGGAGCTAGTTTTATTTCGATAGCAAGAATAGCGGATGAATGTAGATGCGCTTTAATGAACAGTCCGCGATTTAAATGCGCTCAACCCCTGTGTAGTTCCCTAGATGAAAAGTGAGCAAGTGGGTTTGTGTAACTTACTATATTTTATATTGGTAACAGTATCCATACGAAGGGGCCCCTTCTGCGTGGCTCATTGACTGTGAAATATCTTCACTTTCTTGAGCTAAGCGACTGTTCGGTGATGCCATTTAACAGTTACAGGGATTATCGACATAGCTACCGAACGGCTATCGCCACTGTGGAAATCCTCTACTCTGTCGGCAGAAGAGCAATAGCAATACATCGATCGTGTATACTCGGCCAGAAAATTGAAGATATAAGAGAAACAAACGATGTTATCAGCTACCGCAGCCGCCTGTCGTTATCTATCTTTTCTTTTATCAAATAACAATCGTACGTTCATATTTTTTTACCAACCATAATAGACGTATCATGTTATAAGGCAGTAGAAGGTAACAGAGAGTATTTCATCGATTAGAATAGAAAATGAAAATAGTGAAATAAACTAGACAGTGATGATGATGATCCGTACGTAATGGCAATAATTAAAGTTTTTTTTTTATTTTTACACAAAACTAAATTGTTCTTGATTTAGTTGAATCTTCATCACGCATCTATTTTAGCTTGTCGCATGTAGTATATTATGTATTGAAGGCCGAGTAACGTATAAGGTACCATAAAATCATAATGAATTCAGCTTAGCGACCAGCTGGCTAGGTATTCTAGAGAGCAACAGGCCAGAATCTGCTGAAACAAGTCATATGAAACGTACCTTACTTGTGGTACATTCATACGACAGAAGCTTGAAGTGTAGCCTGGCCCGGATAAAAAAAAGCCACGCTAAAAAGAAGACAAGTTTTGCGTTTGCGATTATCTATTTAAGCAAAGCCGCGAACAAAACGAAATTGGTCCATGCACAGTTATCTGTACCAACTTGTACAAGTAAAAAATCTCACGGGTATCATGCTTTCTACCTTTCGAAAACCCAAAAATTAGCGGTAGGACCCCCAAAGTAGCGTGTGAATAATCTAAGAGTTATGGCTTAAGTAGATCCGGCGGAAGATTCAGCTAAAAGTATATAGTTACCAACTACTACCCGCACAAACGCGTAGCGCTGTTCCATCGTGAACTTAACCAAGTTACATTCACTTGATTTTGGAAAAATACGTCATATAGGAGCTGGCAGCTAACCTCGTACTCGTTAAAAATGTGTAGACTTTGTGCTTTTTTCTGGTCCCGTCAACTTGATCGATAACCCCTTTCGCAGAGATAAAAAATTTGACGATATGTAGTAAGATAAAATTATCGATACTACCTTGTGTTGCGTTTAAAATGTTTAGGAATATTGGCACTTACCAGTGTCATGTCACTTTCTTCGAGTACATCTTCTCGTATATTCGCTTCACTTCGATTGATCTCGTTGAAAGTCTTAAAGTTTTTTTTGGCCTTTTCGAAAAGTTCAGCGTAGCCAGGTCCGAGCTCAGTAAGGAGACAGGACTCCTTATTTGATCCTTTCCCAGCTTGATACCAACCATGCCAAGGTAGGCCCAAGATTTCTGCCAATCAGGTAACATAAGGCTGTTGATATCTGAAGTCTGTTTCTATACGAGCATTTTATGTCAATGGCTGCTTCTTTGAAAATCTCATCTACGTTGCTTGAAAGGTCTTTTTTTTTCTTTTCAGCTATTGGTTAAACGAACTAAATTGGCTGTAGGCCAATATTAGACAATGAGTTGACCTAAATACCTACTGTGATAATGATAGATTTTTTTCAAAGTTAAGCAAGCAATTGAACCGCGCATAAATAACTGCTTCATTTATTTACTAGATTAATTTCTGCCTTCCATGTTCCTCACAAATTGAACCGTTTTGCAGAAAACTTCAATTTCACCACGTGAATGGGTCCGAAGTGTTTCACCTGTCCCATCCTGCCGATTTCTATTTTTTTTTTTTTCTGTAGTCTAAGTCAACACAATATGTTGTGCAGGGCTTTTCTAACTAGAGAATGCCTTATTTGGTATCGGAACGTTTCTTGATTTCAATTGGTCTAATCCAAATTTAAGAGTTTGAGAATGGTTACAGTTGTAACGCCCGTTGACTTCATTGAGGTAAGCTGGAGCTGTTCTCGTGACAACTTAGTAGGTAACGTGTTTGCCTGCTAATATTAAGGGTCTAGGTTGGAACGTACTTCGTTCGACGCTGACAGGCAACAGTCCGATAGAATGCTCAACGGCGATACCCGGCGTAGAAACATAAAAGAACGAACACGGGCTAGCAGTTAAAGAGTAGGCACAGGCAACTCTAGATGACACAACAATAACGGACGGATCAACAAAGCTAAAGCACCATTTGTAAACTTTCCACGTTGAAATTCACAGACCTTCAAAGCTGATTCGTTACTTGCTTGGTTTAAACAGACAAAGAAGACTGTAGGCGACCTGAATAATCGAACCTCGTTTGTATGCTATTATTAGTATGATGCTAGCTGAATCGTCCGATGTACATTTACAACTAATTATTAATCATTAGGCGCTTCAGAGTCCTGTACAAGAAGCTGTCCCTTCTGGCCTACCTGCCATTTCGTTTGGAGCGTCCTCCAGCATCGCGCTCAAAAGCGATACCGACGAAAGGATAAGCCCGAAATATCTTACGGAAGTCCACATTATAAACACGAACGAGCTATTCATGAAGGCAGTTACACATGCGCACACATTTCATACGTCCTACAGGACAAACTGTTGCAGGGTGTTCCTCGAACGTAGTTCTAACGTCTACTTACGAATACAGTTTATTTAATAAAGCTGTTACATGTTTTACCGTTAACGTTTTCAAGATTCGGTTGCGAATAGGTATCGGCCCACTGCGTGGTGTTCTATTACGGCACTATCAAAATAACTGGTCATTTACTGTGCCCGTATTAGAAACTCATTACCGTTCGCTAGCGGGAACGTTCCGTAGCTTTGATTTTACGCGCGCCTAATGTAACCTGAACTGCTGCGGCTCTCCCCTAATGGATGTGTACGACTTGATAATCGCAGGGCAATGGTTTTCGCACATATTCTTTTTTCTAACTCGGCTCCTTATTAAAAGTCAGCGGACAATTAACGTGCTCTATATACGGCTAACATGGGTCATTGTGTAAGTAAAAGCTTATAAATGGAAAAAGCGTCAGCGAATGATTAAGCAGGCATTCTATGTGTGCGGTTGCATTGCCCTTACGTCAGCAAAAGTGTACGACAGCCCTTCGAGCGAGCCGTAGAAGGGGATATGCGGAAGAGCGGATTCATCTGTCTTGTATGTTTCCCTGTCGACTTTCAACCGTAGAAATCGTGCGAATAATTAAAACGTAGTTAAAAATCACCGACTTAAATACAAGCTTCTATAGATCGGGAACGATTTACCGTTTTTGTGCTGAAGTTGAATAGAAGTTGAGGTGGGACAAATTGTAAAAATCCCGAACTTTTCTGAGGCGTCTTTCAATGGATTTCCGCATTTCGTATTAAACGTTTCCTTAGTAAAATGACTGGCCTATGATGGACTGGAGAGTGACAAACAAACCATGCCCAGAACTATTCGGCATATTGCGCAAGCCTCGAAATTGCCCAGCTACAAAGTCTAACAAAATCATTCAGTCATTAGTAATAATGATGAGCAAAGTTCGATATTATTATTAAGCCGTGCTATAGCACGTCGCTTTAAAGTCTCCTGCACAACTTAAGCGGAACCCGAAAAACTAATTGAAATAAACAGTTTCTAGGTCAAATCTTCGCACCGCGTTGACGTTGGTGCGTCCATTTACTGACTGAGTCACCTTAAATGACACCAACTGTACACCTCTTAGCTTACTGCTTAATGTCTGAGTAACCCGAGACGACTGATCCCTGCGTTTCTTGAGCGCCTGACCTGCGTAATTATACCATCGTACGAAAAATATGCTTCTGGAAGTATCTACAAAGGAACGGTAAATTATGCCACAAAATGCTCTTACGCAACTGTTTTCGTCTGCAACCTCTTGTTGTTAATCTGATTCGACCTGTTCCATCGCTCCATTCACCAAAGCTTTCTAATTCAGTTTCATTCAGCCGAGCTACCGACTGGTCCTGGCAGGTCTCTAGCAGGTATTGGGCTCGTTGCCACATAAACAAGGGCGAACGTCGCAGGTGGGCAAACAGACCCATATGGTATTGTGCAATGTTTATAAATGTATGATAAGCGGAAATGTTTTTTCGACACGTCTAATATTTGCAAAAACCGGCCTTTACGTAACTTGTTTGTTGTTTCCGTTTTATCCAAGGTCGTTCAAGGAGCGTAAGTCTAACCCAAAGAGCAGCACTGACTGGAGAATTGATTAAATTAATTGACGGGTATTTTAATCATACGTTTGGATTATGATTTTCTAGTCCTAACAAAATGTTTATTATTGAGCCATGTTGTGTACAGGATCGCCCTGTGTAAGCCGTCTTGCCTGTTGCTTGAACCTGGGGGTTCTAGTAAAATCACTCGGCCGTCGGATTCTATTCATTCGAGATACCTAGTCAGTGATAAGTACGATAAAACGTAGAGCAATATCGGAACTCTAGATAGAAGCTGTGGAAATTATTTGCTGCATTTTGGTGTGTCTTGAAGCGATTTTAGGCGCAAGCTGTCTACAGCATCCGTCCGTTGAGTCGACTAAACCCAAATGGATGAATGATGTCCTTATGTAAAGCGTGCGTAGGGCACTGAGAAAGCGAAGTTGAATACAATACAAAATTTATATAACAACAATAGCCCTCGTAGATAAGATGTAAATGGCTTGACCTTTTGTCAGCAGAAAAATTAAATATAACCCTCTCGTTTTTTGTATTTCTATTACGCGATCGTAAATTTGCTTTGGGTTTTTATTCCCAAGCAAATAACAAAGCTAGAGATTTAAATAAGGCATTTAATGAGATGTACATTATGGGCAGTCCAGTAAGGGTTTGATTTTTGATCGCGGTCTCTATTTAATATTTCTCTTATTCAAGAATTTCATTATGCGTTTCTAGCAGATATCCGCCTTGGGCAGCTACAACTAGATAATCTGCGGCCACCATATGGCAGTCGTCAAAATGTATTTTTTTTGCGACGATTTGGCAATGAAAACAACAGAAAAAAAGTTACGTTTAAATAGGAAATATGGCCAGTTATGCCATTGTGAAATTGATTTAGGTAGCTCCAATATTCGCTTATCATCCAAAGTTGACTAAATACGTCTACACGTTAGTTCTTATAGAACGTAACGTAGCTTTTTGCCGTTCACTGTAATATACGATGCATTCAATCACAAACTGCATAAACCCTCGTTCACCCGAACCGTTACTACAGATAAACCTAACACACCTAGGTGCAAACATCTATTCGTCGACATTTACCTAACTGATGACAATTACAAATATTTGCTCTTCTTCAGGTAATGTTGAAGCGAACCGGGCTGTTGTCTGCGGGTACAAGCCTCCCGACAGTGAAGATGTTATTAGCAGTTGTAATAATGGCCATGTCGCTGTCTTCTGCGGACGCTACTGTAGGGATGGTTTGTATGCTCGATTATCGTGTTTCGTCAGATGAATTTCCCTAGGCTCACAGATATCCACACAAAGGCGCACTGCACACAAGGTTTACCCATCTATCTCAGCAGAAATATCATCTGCATGAGCGTCAACGGCTTCATTATGACGCATACGTGCCTACTATTGAACGTTGGGTTAGTCCACTTAGTCGACCGACCTGAAGTGACGTTTTTTGGGTACAGCTATGGAATTTTTTTCGGGGGGTAGGTAGGTAGGTAGGTAGGTGCCATATGGTTACTCTGTTACGGATACAGTCTCCGGGGATTTCCGTTCCATAGAAGTTTCTCTTATGGAGATTTGGTTATCCTAACGATTGGTGGTAGCGAAGCTTGTTGTATGCGAGGTAGAGGTTAGCGTTTAGTAGAAAATAATACGGATGGTTTGAACGTACGGATCAATGACTGTGCTTGATGTGCAGCGGCGGCGCCAGAGTTAGTGCTCATAGTACTGTTGTCCCGTTCGTGCCGTCGCAGGTTTGGTCTATCTAAAAGCTGATAACTTTGGCAAAGCTCCTAGAGAGAATTTTTTTCACGAGGTTTGATTAAGCCTTCTTACAATCGGGCGCGACAGAGTAGTGCCTGTCTAGCGTGAGCCGATCAGGACGGGGTACGAGTCCCAGTTCCGGCTCCAAACTCCGGCCAGTGGACTTTATTTCGTCGAGGCCACTACCCACCTATTCTTAATTCCTCTTTCATACATTATTCTGAGAGTCCGCTTTTTCATTAATAGCATTACAAACTACTGTTACAATTATACTGCGTAAAGAAGACGCGCTGAAAGACGTTGACGTAATTCTATGAATACGATAATATCGATTGAAAATGGAAGGATACGATAAAATTGATGGATTATAGTGTTACAAGGGAATATGCTTCTGAGAGCCATAATACAGAACGCAAATGCTGACTTTGGTCGCAACCGAAGATTAGATATCAACAGTGAACCATAGTGTGCGCCAGGGAAAGCAACCCTGGCGGTTTCGGCATACAGTGACGCGTATACCTACACACTGACACAGTTCAAGCTCCTTTCAGTGTCGTATGAGGCTTAGTGTCGAGGCTTACTAGAGTGGGTAGCTCTCGTCAATTAGACTCAAGTTATCGAAGTTTACAGCGCATAGTATTAAAAAAGTTCGGGAAATTCTTAGTTCGTTACCTGCGTTGTAAAAGCTTGTCGCATATGGGAATAGTATTGATCTGAAGACGGCCGGAGTACATATATGGCTGGACTTGTTCAACTGTTCTTCACTACTAGTAAAAGTTAGCCTATCGAACGTATATAGGACATGCCAATAGCTTTGTTATGTTCAAATTGTAACGTGAGTAAAACATAATAATAAAATGTTATTAATTTTATATAGCTATGAATTTATGTTAAATATACTCTAAATATAAATATATATAATTATTACGTAAGTTCTGCAGGGTATTTGGGCCAGCTTACGCTATGTTATAAGCATGGCTCATTCGGTGCAGATATAGTGCTCTTCGGTAACTTTACTTTAAATCATTGCAAAGAGAAATTTTTGTTGTCGCGCCTTCTACTACTATTTCTTTTGTGGTAGATAGGCCGGACCTTATAAGGTGTGTTAAGATAATGCATACGTTCTTTTATTTTTAAATATAATTAGTTGAAAATAATACATGGACAATGATTAATTTTCGACAAACGAAAACTTATGTTAAAATACCACTAGAAGTACGAAAATGTAGCAGAAGTACAGCATTACAGGTAGCTTTAGGAAAATTTACCTACGGGGCTTATTAAGCTGGATAAAAGATGAGTTTAACACGAATGAAATATATTTATATTCAATACGTTCATGGAGCAAGCTTTATCAGCCAAGAGAGTTATTAGAAAAGTCGCTGCAATGTATCCATATGATGCAATGATCAATTCGTGAGCCTGGCATCAACAAATCAAGAATCCATCAGATTTTAACACACAGCAAATGGAAACATTGCACTCAAACAAATATACATTTTATCAATGGATACGATTTGGATCGAAGAAAACAATTTTTACGAAAAACGGTGAAAAAATACGCACTCTTTGGGAAAAATTGTTTTGCGCTCATTAAAATTAAATAGCACAATTAATCGACATAATTTCATCTACTATTAGAAACGGAATGTAAGTTTACCAGAAATTAATACGGTGGGGAACTTCAAGAAGATAATTAATTTCTCATATCTGCTTACAAGGAGACTGAATGTGTTT